GTTTCATCATAGACAGCTTTGCAAATCAGAATTAACCTGACTGAAGACTGACAATCCTAAAAAAATCTGGAACGTGCAGATTTCTTTCTCCGTACATAATTGAACTCATAAATTCTGTTCAATTGTCAGTTCCATCATAGGTTAGTTCTCTACGAAACTACAAAAAAACTATGAATTTGGTATATTTTCACTCGAAAGTTCTTTTTTACACCGCGATAAGTTCCTCACACAAGTTTGGCCTGTTATTTCTTTATAATATTTCTGTCTCAAAATCTAGTTGACACTCAGAGTTGCGGTTCCGAGGTAACTGCTGGTTCTAATTCACTTAGAATCATTTCTTTGTATCATCATAGACAGCTTTGCAAATCAGAATTAACCTGACTGAAGACTAATGTTGACCCTAATTCTAGAAACTTCAAAAAATTGTTTTCCGTACAAGGTACACTTTTAAACATTGCCGTTGCTTTTATTTTTTTTTTTTGCGCTCATTCTGTGGCGATAAATGAAAAAACACATAAAAGTTTTATTCACATAATGGTTTCATATGTACAACACGAAAATTCATACCCTGCTTCCGCCGACTAGTGATTGTAATTTGCTATATATAAACTCTATATCAGACTGAAATGTGAACTGTTACTGACATTTCTACAACATGTAACTAACTCTTGAGGACCAAATACCACAGTGCATTTGAGCGTACGACGAAATAGTCAAAACTGTATCAACACATCCTTGCTGCTCTAACTGACATGCTAAAGACGTCAAGGCACACAGAGTATATGGTAGCGACGGTGACAGATCTGAGAAGATGTTTATGATGATAGGCTTAATAGATTTTAACTAAAAACCTGGTGAATGAAACGTCGTATTACATAAAGCTTTTTCATTATAATCTATATTACCATTATTTAAATCTGTATGAGTTGCATCGGTCTGAAACGTAACCGTCATCTTGGTTTTTTCACTGTAAACGTACATTGGTTATAAATGGATTCAAAATGACTAGAGGTGCATCATGGTAAGCCAATCTTTCTTTTTGAATTCTTTCGATCTCATCCCAAACATCTTTGGCAAGTTTATGTTTAGACACCGGTATTATACGTACACAAAGCTGAAATCGAATGCATATTCATGATCTTGTAATTATATATCTTACCTGATCTTCTTTATTTTGTAGAAGAACAAAATTATCACCATGTTCAATAGACATATCGCCTACACGATCAATTCCTGACCAATAGCTCTGATCACCTATTAAAAAACGAATGAAAGATATCATGAAAGAGTTCAAACCTAGAAAAATGACTGTCTGGCAGTTTTTACTCCAAATCATTTCCCACAATTGTTCAGTTTCACATTTCCAATTCGCTACGATGAACTCGTCAAGCCGATGATAGCCCTGTTTTCAATTGTTTTTAATTGATGAGTTATAATATATACCGGAAGCACAACATAGTCTCCTATCGGCACGCATGTGGGATTGTGCTTACATTCGCAAAGATCTTCATATTGCATTTGCATCCTGGTTTTACCATTGATATTTTCCTCTGACAAATAGTGTAGATATCTTAAAGTTAAATTTATATTTTTCATTCAAAGATATTAATATACCTTTGGAAAAGATCAGAATGTACACGTGTGATGCCATGTCGTATCAACTGTCTTACGGCTTCATGACACAGCTCATACTGTTCAACTGTTTGCACTAATTTCTCACGTTGACGTCTCATATGGATCAGATGACCCATCAGATTCAATCGACGGAAGTTTATCAAATGACAACGCATACTATCTATGAGTATATATGAGCCTGAACGGCCAACACCCGCACTGGAATTAGAAGTATAACTTTAAGATGTTCAGATTAGATAATACCTGCAGTGTACTACAATAGGACCCGTGGAATGAATATCTGATACATAATGCATGAAATCGAGTAATGGGAAAACTGAATCAGGAACACCATGATCTGGCCACCCTTTAAAGTGAAGTTGATGGACTCTTCGTTCAGCCTGAAAATAATTCTATGATATATTCCTGAAAGTTCTCAAACTGATGAACAAGTTCCTTGTTCGATTCAAAACCTACCGGTGGAACACATTTATTGAGCTTCAAGCTTATGATACGATGAATAAAATGAGCATTTTGTGTTTCAGACACTAATCCAACTTGGTAACTACCATGGTTTTGAGGTGTATCGATAGACGAAGGCCAGTACTGATCACATTTCCTCTGAAATATTGCCCTTAGTTTGCTCAGTCTTTGATTATATCTGTTACCCTTCCATCTTCAACCAGGTTCGTTATAACCACAATAACATTGCACCTCTCCTGCCATATCATGGCCCAGAAGTCAGAGAAAGTTGAGGGCAAGGGAGCTTGAGTAGCTATATAAGCATTCCTTTTATCGCATGACTGAAATGATAATGCTTGAGCGTTACCCTTTTTTATGGTTTTAGATATGCAAACAGCCATGCAAAATTATTAAAAATTCAATTATGGTACATGAGCGTGACTACAATATTAAGACGCACAACTATTAAATGTTCCCCTCTAATCTTCACAAATAAGGAATTTAATATGTGGATTCTGAATAAGAAATAGAAAGAAAGGAGAGCAATGTTCAAGAACAAGAGAGGTCAAAGAAGACAGAGAATTGTTCTTAAAACTGTTAGGTCACAGCAGTCTCCTATCTCTATTATCTACCTAATCCTAAATTGAATTCTCATCTGGACAGCTGATTCTCTTTCTTCACACTAATTTAGTCTTAGGAGTCATATAGGAAATCTACTTACATCTATATAATTGGCGTTTATATAGTCAGAGCCGGTTGCTGAATTCAACCGAACACGTGAAGCTTCCATGGCTCCAATATTCAAATATCTGAAACACAAAGCATAGTTGGGTATAGAAGAGTGTAAGAACCTATTCTTGTCGAGATTTTTCTGCAATGCATCTGGTGAAGTACAATCGTTAGATGTCGTATTCTCAATAACCTGTAATAAGATGTTTTCAAAGATTTTATTTATCTCATTCAGTTTTCACAACCCCCCCCCCTCATCGCTCAATCCTCAGAGTATGCACTTGCGACACTAATTAAATGAAACTATTGAGGAGAATTATCTAAATATGGACACAACGGACTGCTTCTCTCTTCAGGCCATTTGCCCCACTCTCATTTGTCGCCCTAATTTGCATAACAAAGTTTTAAAGAGAAATAGTCGAACGGAATCTTCTAAAGGAATGGCTGTTTGATTTCCGATTGGTTAATCATTCATCTACTCTTCATTTAGTAAGAACTAAGACCTAGGTTTTCAATGATTCTGTAAGCTCATCAAGGAAAACCGATTTAAGTATTTGTGTTGAAATACTTCCAAAACAAACCTCGAATTGGGATCTATATTTGCTTTTATTGTTGCGAGCTAAATCCTCGCAATATCCATAAAACAACTCAACCGGAATATCCTCACATCCAGTAGAATCTGGAAGATGATGTCATTAAGAGTAGAAGTAAAATATTCTATTTACCATAAACTAGTGGGCTTAGCTCATCCAGATACACACATTTTTCTTTCTTTTTCTTCAACAGACTTTTCATATCAAAACATCTCCTGAAGAATACATTAAGGAACATAGTTCATGTGTAGACTTACCCTTTGAGAATGTATGCTACCATGAAACATAAGAGTACGAAAACGGCTAAAGCAACAATAACAACAAGATAAGTAAATCGTCGACTAGGATATGCCTAAAAAAGAATTTCTTTTGTTGTGTCTGAGATACTGAATTACCTGTACTAGACGTTGGCACTTCGCGTTGTTGGCACAAATGGATGAGTAGTAAGCACATTGATCTTGAACAAGTTTGTTAACATATATTAAGATAGATCTCAGTACCATTCAGAATAAAATGATGAACTTCACTCCAAGGCCCTTGAATACGGGTCCGGTTATCAACGGAACTGATCACAGTAGTTTGAATCCTAACATCATACTCACTATAGAGAGCTAGCTCAGTGACATCAAGCTGAAATACGTATTCATTATTATGATACACTTACAACACCAACTTTATTGACGGTGGTGTTGAATATCAGATTGCGTGTTTTGTTCCCCATTTCAATCCGATACTCTGCTCTTCCTTTCATTCTATGCCATTCCATCTTGATACCACCTTGGCAATCATAAGATAATCCTGTCAACTGAGTAGGTGGTGGAACTTAAAAGTTTTCGTTATGTAATGTTCTGAGAATGAATAATTAAACCTTCGAAATCAGTCGTGACCACATGATGTCGAGTTTTCGGTCCCTCTCCTTTAACGGTAGTGGCAGAAAGACGAACGTGATAAGCCGTATTTGCATCTAAAAAATGGAAGATACAAACAACAATAGAGTAAAATCCATTAAAATGCGAATTAAAATGAAAATAATAAATAATTAATGTTATATTTATGAGATGATAAGTATATGTTTACCTAGTCCACCAATTTCATGCCGAAAACTGGTAGCGGTGCTATCAAGAACTGGCAAGTGTTCAACCTTCCAATGGATATGCTCATTGATCTTAAACAGCAAATGAATCAGAGACGCTCATGAGAACTTTCACCAACTTTATAATAAATATTGAACTGCTTCACTAGCTTCACATCAGAAATGTCCATTTTCCATTTGACAACGAGCCTTGGCGACCCTAACATGGAATACACTTTCATTTGAGTAGGCATCAATGGAGCGACTGAAAACTCTTTCATATGATTCATGACTTCTAGTCCTATTTACCTATCTCGTCAGAGTGGAAAAGCTTTTTGAGTGGAGGAGATAAACCAAAGTCGTTTTCAACACTGACAGCTATGGAATACACAGTGTTAGATTGTAAGTTGCAGATGTTTAGCGGGATCGGGGTACTTCCAGGAAAGCTAAAAAATTATCATAAGTTGCAAACTATTAGAATTTCGTACTATTCTCTCCGCGATTCGCTCTCATCACTCTTCGACGTGATGACCGTATAAGATTTAATGTCACCATGCATTTCTTCTGGTGGTAAAATGCTCATTGAAACACATCCCGCACTTCCATTTGTCATAGATATGAAGACAGGTGGTTGAGATGGAGCTGAAAGTAAGAGTTGAAGCCTTAGATAGAAAGTTTTTCCCTTTATCATATAACTGTTGTATTTGTGTGAATTACACGAATACTCACTATACAACTATAACATCACACAACATCGCTTTATGACTATAATTTATGCGGAATCATTCCTTTCAGCAAATAGAATACAAACCAAATAGGGTAATAACATTAAATATTCGTCTTCTTTCATTTTTTTTCTTCAGCAAGAGCAGAGGATTAAAGAAAGCTTTGTTTTGATGCTTGGTATTTGAATATGATAATATTTTGGTCATGTTTTAAATATTTTGTAAGCAAACTAACCATTCCCTGGTGTACGATGTTTCGTCTCCGGGCCGAAGTCACTCATTCCAGCATTGTTCTCAGCTCGAATGGAGAACGCATATAAGGTAAACGGTGACAGGTTATCAACGATGACAGATGTTGCATTTGAAGGAGCTGGTATGATGAAACGATGATTATTCGAAAGACTCCTGAAAAAACAAAAATCCATGAGCGCTGGAATGAAAAAAGCTCACCGAACAGCAACAGAGTAACGAACGATCGGGCGATGAGCTCGAGCTGTTAAATGATTCCATACTAGAGTTGCGGAATGATTATTAGATGTTTGAATTTCCGGTGAGGATGGAGGAACGGGTGGAACTGAAACAGTTAACCGTAATGAATTCAAACAAAGTTCCCCCATGTGCAGAAATAGATATTTAAAAGATCGAAAAGAAAACAAACGAAAGTTCATTTAGAGACCTTGTTACCTATGTAAGCGAGCTCTCTCATTTTCTTCAACTGTTTCTTATTTCTCATTTCAATTATAGCACATAGAATGAATGATTAAACAGTTTGTATAGTATGGATATATCCGATTACTTTCATACAAAAAAGAAACAAATAATAGCTTAGCGTTTGTCAGTTTCATTTCATTAATAATGGAAAACCCCCCCTCTGCTGAGTTAGAGAACCAACATTTCCGAAAGGCAATGCATTCGTTTATCTTGAAGAAACTTGATGAAAAATCTCAATTCCTCTTGAATACTCTTGTTCAAATCTCATAAAGAAGTAAACTATTGAAGAAGAGAAAGAGATTAATGTATTTCTCTAAACAGCGAAAACATGTTAAAGGTAAACAAATCTTTCAACAATTAACAACAATTAAAACGTTTTTACTCACGCAATACTATTGTTTCGTAATTCTGATCATCTTCGTGTGCACAACTTTCAGATTCCTTCGTACTTCCGTCCCTCTTTCAATACTTTTTCTATTTTCGCGCAGTTTTTCGAATTCAAAAATTGTTTGTCACCAGCTCAACTGTTAATCAGGTTATTCTCACCCTGCATTTCCTACAATTATGCTAACCGAAGAAAAAAACAGCAGGATACGATAATTACAAAACAATATGTTTCTCATGCCACACCTGCACAATCACTTTCTTAGACCGGCTCAACTATGACCTCGCCCTTATATGGGATTTGTTACACAACTCAATTTGAAGAGAAGAATAAAAAGAATAAGTATAATCGCAACTTGCATAACAAACATAATGTAATTGTTATCCATCACATTTGATTTGATTCACATTTTTTCTTTTCACTTGAACAACCGTTCCTTTGACTGTTCGAGTCGAAAATGAAAACGATAACAGTGCTCTACGTGAATTTGACGCATCAGGTTGACTTCTAGGAAATTAGCATAATCAGCAGGTGTCTCTTCAGAACATGTTTCCCGTTCATGTTTCAAAACTATATAGTTACGTATAGTTAATAGCCCGCTATTATTTCTTCCAATTTGTCTTTTCAATGAAATTTATAAGGAATATTTGAATTTCAGAAGAATTTCATCCCTTTCCTTTTGTCCCGATGCAATTTAAGTAGTCATTAGCTTAATATCTCATCACATTTTGTTATGAAAACATTATTAGGTTAAGGCCGTCATTATATCGTCACATGAGCTTCGTCTTCTTCTCTGAAGTTGACAGCCGGCAGCAACAACTATTCAAGCAATTTGCACTTATTAAAGAAAATTACCACTCCCCTGAGTTTATTCGATTCATTTACACAACTTTAAATCTCCCAATTCCTTTTGGAGAGAGAAGATGAGAGAAAGTGTGAAAAGAGAGAGAGAAAGATTGAAGGATAGAGACAGGAAGAGCGATAGATTGAGGGTGGAAGAAGATGAAGAGTGAGGGTGGAGGAAACTAAAGAGACCAAATCTTTTACCAACTGCGCGAATGCGAAAGTGTTCCATTGCAGATTCATTGAAGCAGAAGGTGGCAAATCCATTGCGAAGATTATGTCCAAACACGCATAATTTGAATAAGAAAGCCAAACCGAATAAAAAAGCAATGAACAAAGAGATTTGAAGAGCGTTCTGATAACATCTATCCAGACCCTTTGAGTGGACAATAAGCCTCATCAAAATTGTCATTGAATCTAAGCCTAGCCATACATGACATGACCGAATCAGAATTTCGGAAATATTAACTGACAAACAGTCAAATCAAATTGACGTTTACGCAATGTCCACTCATTTGCATTAACTTGTTATCTTTTTTAAAATCGACAACATTCTCCATATTCTCATAAATTAATTTGCATTTCGGAAGTACCCCCTGAGGCTGTTTCGAAACTTCAGATTCTGAACCCTCAGGAGATTTTCTTTCAAAAACTAACCAATCCAAGCTAAATCACATACAAAAAGAGAAATGTAATCATCTGCTTACATCTCATACAACATCCATCTTAAAGCCTTCTCAATTACAGTATACATTGAACGATAACATCATCTCCTATCTTTTTTCAAATAAAAATGACATCCATTGCGTCTGTCACACGAGCCTCACATCCAAATTGTGGAAGGATTTCAAAAAGAAATGACTCACCTAACACGGCCAATTGAACTTGCGCTGAGCTCATGGTCAAGGCAAACAGAGGATCAGTCTCTAGTCGACAGCTGAAGAGAAAATTTTTTTTTTATTCCAAATTCTATAGATAACAAGGAATTACCGATATATTCCAGCATCTTCAGGTAATACTGGGCTAATTTTGAGTGTATAAAATGGAATTTCCAATTGAAATCGTTTATCAGCCACCCACCATTGCCTGGACGAATCATCGATGACATTCTGTAAAGAGATGAGATCCCTCTATTCAGTTATAAGAAAACAACAAAAAAAAACAATAGGAAGAAGAAGAAAAAATAATAAATGGATATGTGGAGTGAGAGGTCAATCTGCCAGCTGCACATCTATGAACTTTCATCCATTTTCAATAAAATGTTCATAACATTCTATTATTAGTATGGATATAATAATAATTTAATAATTATAACCTTCATTGTGTGAAAACTGACAGCAGCTAAGATGGAAGTAAATTTCTTTTTTTTTTGAAAATCATATTTGAAACGGTAGTGCTTAGTCATCTACTTGAATGTCTTCAAGAGTCGTTAGGATTATCGTCTTTCCCTATCTAGGTTAATTCCTTTGCTCATTTCTCCCTCCTTTATATGGTAATAATTCAAAAAGATTTCCTTTTTTATGTTTCCGATAAGTAGTGAAGATATTTAAAATAGCCTCTTCTAGTATATTAATAATTCCTTCACTTATGAACAACCGCTTTGAACGTCACAACACGCAATAAATGATTTCGTTGATGCGTCCCGTGATTTACGTGAAGTCACCGATCTCATAAAATTTATTGCCAAATGATATAATTTAAAATTCGAACGTTGCTGTGTTCATATGAAAAAATAAATTATGCAAATGAAGGGCAAGCTGGTGAATATGAACAAGACTATCTAGGGTTGGCTGCTTTAAATAATTTGTTCCATAAGTTGAAATACAAGATGATTTATTATAAATATCTTGGTGGATGATGAAGAAGAACAATTGTTTATCCAATATGTCATTTCGCATATATTACTGTGGCCACTGCACATGCGCATTACTTGTGATTCTCACCGACAACTTGTTGAAGTGACAGTCGTCTTCATTCAAATTTTCCAAGTTGTTTCATCTTCAATCGTTATAAATCATCTGTGGTGAAGACAGTTTCAGCTTCTTCATTCATTTCTTTTTGACTTTTCCCTCCTCATTTGGATTCATTTTGACTGATCAAATGAACCAACTATTACAAATAAAACATCAAAAATGGTATTTTCTCCTTCAGAGAACCGGAAATCCGTTATGTTTTCCTGCCACCCACGATGATCCGAAAAGGTGGAAGGAGGTTCAGATCATATTTTTCTGACATCATATTCTGCTAATGTCTGCTGGCAAAACATATGTCATGAAAGACCAATTAAGCAACAGATTTCTAGCTGACTGTCAATTAATTCGTTGAGAGCATCATAACGAGGTAAATCCTGAGAGAGCATGTGACAGCAATAGCAATCGTGAGATTAAAAATTGTGCTCAAGGTTAGTATGCAGCCTAGGTTCAGATAGAGCTTTCAAATGATAAAATTTAAATATTTTCATATGAAAACGTATATAATAGCCTTTTATGGAAGTTTCTATTTGAAGAGAGTTGAAGAAACGGCTAAAGAATCAACATGACTGTTTACTTTACTATAACACGTAATCAAATGAAATTCACTTCTTGTTGGTGGCTACGAATTTCGAGAGAGAGAGCTAGTGAAATAAGGAGTAGGAGCAACAACTATTTCGTTATTATGTGTCATTGGTTGCTCACAGCTCAGCTTATTCTCCCACGTTTCGTATCAAATTCCCTTACGCATCTTCGCCTTCGTTTAACGCCATCGTTAGGTTGGGTTGTCTGTCATCGGAAGCTGGGAGAAGAAGAGATGAACCAATGAAAGGCAAGAAAATGGTATAAAGACAATAAAGAGAGTTAGAGAGAGAGAAAGAGGGTGAGAGAAAGAGAAAGAGAAGTCTTTACTATACGATTGAGTTATTTATAATTTGAAAATTGAGACAGAAGAACTTCTCATATTCTCGACCTTTCCTCAACTTTACGTGATTTCCAACTTGTCAAGTATACGAATCATCTGACAAATCAGAATTCTGAAAGAATCCATGAATATCCGAATAAAAAGCCTTTAGAAGCTTATAAATAAAGTCACGTAATCCCACTAAAGGATCAATTTCCCATTCAAAAAAATTTTTATGGAATTAAGTGAAAGAAGTGAGAGGAGTAAAATAGTCAACGTGAGATTACTGCGACCCATTTATGAACTTTTTTTTTGTAATTCCGTTGCAATGGAAGCAAATAGTCTGTTCATCCCTCGGGCCCACTCTCACGAAATCGTCAGTTTGTTCTGAATAAGTCAACGGGTGGTCATCCGTATGTTCCTAGTCCCATAGCATCTTTCAACTCTTTATAGCAACTGCAAAATCCAAATGACCCTTAAATAACGGAAGCTGTACTTGAAGGCTTTAGAGTCTCACAGAATCAGTGACTAACAAGATGGCTCCGAGGATGAAACGACGACTACGTCAACGACGTTGATAATGATGAATTGCGAGCCCCCCAGTTTCATGTGAATAGAATAGGTTACAAAACACTTGAAAAACGCTTGCATAATTCCTTCCACGGATATCGCTGCCTCATTGAAAAGGCTCATATCAGTGCTCTTCTAACCTCTTGGAATGTTCATTGAAAATGAAGAACAACAAAAATAGATTTACCTCCTATATGAGGGGGATAGATCTTTCAAGCATTCAGTAAGAGATCCAAGTGCAGATGCATCACATAAAATGAATTTATAGAAGCAGACGTCAAAAAAGGAGAAGACGTTCCTTCTTCAACGATGATTTGTCACTTCATATGAGATATGAATCTTGTATGCTCAATGAACATTTATCTTATTTTGTCACTCATCTTTCCATTCTATTTCATTTATAAGAGACAAAAAAGAATTTTTTTTCATTAAAAATCTTCATATTTTGCCTTTTTTCATTATGATGAAAGATGAGAAACAACAGACAGACGGGACTGTGTCCTTATTTTATCTCATTAGCTACTGAACGTTTCTCTTATTTTTCATGAAATATTATATAGCATTAGCTTGCATGATATTCATATGTATGGCTGAATGTAGAGAGAGATTAAATGAAATTAAGAGAGTGAGATGGTAGGAGCTGTGATCAAATTGTGCAGGTCACCACATACGTTTCTTTCAAGCCAATTACCTCAGATGACATTGAGCTATCGTTCGATTACTCTCCCTCTCTCTTTCTCTCCATATGGTAACATCAACAATATAGAAAGTGTGAGAGTGAGAGAGTGTGAGAAAGGATAAGAGGAGGAAAAGCTTATGAGCTCAATTCATACAGAAGAAGGAAATACATGAGACTCCTGTTTCTTCTTTACCATATCCTTGCCACATAAGATGGATGGAAATGTCAAGAAGCAACTATTTATGTAACATTTACAGCCAAGTGCCATAACCAAACCTTCTTTTATGAAGCTTTAAGGGTCAACTGTCAAGTGAATTCAACCTTTCTCCCAATAAATTTGCATAAACATTCGGTGAGAAAATTCATTTCAGTCAAGACGACGTGAAGAGCGGTTGTGCTGTTCCGGTATAATCAAAAAAAAAAACTTCTCGTCAAAGTTCACAAATAAGTGGCATCCTCTCTCGTCATTTGAGTTCTTCTCTCCTTATGAAAAGATACAACAAGATTTGAAGATGAAAATCGGAACAACGGCATTCCCCCTTTGCATTTTTAGTGTTGAAATCCAATTTGGAGCTGCAGGCGATTTTTATTTCTCAATAGAAGAGAAGACACAAAAGCCACATAGTTCTTGTGTTCATTTCTATCCAATTCACATAGTTGAGAAGAAGAAAAAACGTTGAAGGAAAGGAAAAGAACTTAATTATGAGTGAGAGAAGAGAATGAGAATAATGCAGCAAAATAGGAGTTGCTGTTGCTTTTCTTTTGTATATCACACCATTCTCCTTCTATTCTAATGCTTTCGGAAGGCTTTATCAATTCTCTCCGAATTTTTAATGATTTATTCATGTTTACATGATAAAATCATCTAAATGTTGCCGCTATCAAATAGTTTATTCTATTCATCTTTAATGGCTTTATATCCCCTTTAAACAGCATTTTGATACCACTAAAGAAGAATGACGCAGGCAGATAGAGAGTGAAGAGAGAGAGAGATAGAGATAGAGAGAGATGGTTGGGTGGAAAAGCTGTATGATCCTGGCAGTGAAAGAGAGGGTGAGAATGACCAATTAAGGTAGTCCTACGATATCTCTGAGCATGTCCTGCAGTGGTCAGAGCTTTTAACGCTCAAATGCTTCAACAGATTGAAACAGAATCCTTTTCTCTTTCTCTTTCCATAAAAACTCCTTCAAATTGCTCAAGAGTATATCGTTACTAAGCACACTTCTCCCGTACCTATGTATGTTATAAATGACCATGCCCTTTCAGAAGCAGAAGCCTAAGACGTACTCAAGCAGATAAATTTAGAAAGTGAGAGAAGTAGACAGGAGATGTGCTTAGACTCAAGCCCTCCCGCGTAGAGGTGGCTAGCTACTAGAAGCAATAAGGAAATACAGAGGAAACAAAATTAAAAGAGAGTAGCTAAAGAGAGAGAGAGAGGTGGAGGAGGAGATGAAGAGACAGAAAGAAAGAGAGATAGAGAGAAGTAGAAAAAAGTTTAGAAAAAGTTGAAAAATGAAAGAAGGCAAAAGCAATCAAATGAACACAAATAATATTTCCTCCGAAATACTCGAAGAGAAGAATAAAACTTAACAGGAGGACTATAATATAGCAAATAACATGAAATTGCTTGTGTGTTATTTCGTTATTTTCTTTTTGCTCCAAAAATGAATTGAAGACTGCTATTTCCTTATTTCATCGCTACAGTCAGAGAGATAGAGAGACCTAGAGAGAGAGAGAGAGATAGAGATTCCTATAAGTTACTATGATCAGCTTTGCGATTTGAATGAATAAGTGGAAACTGTAAATAAAACATTCGAGCTGATGAATTTGCTTGTCCCTCTCGTGCTCCTGCTCATTATATTCAAATGAAGCACTTCTTCTCCCATCAGTCAACAGCTTCCTGTCGGCCTTCGACTGTCTTTAACACATTTTTCTTCTTTTCATTCATTTGTCCGGATATGTAACGAGGTCTTTCAATCTCAAACTAATGAATGAACAAGGCAAAACATTTTCTTTCTGAGAAAAGAAAAGAAGAAAAACGGAAAGTGTTCTTGCACATAATGGCTGATGGCAGGTCACATCAGGATTTGTCTCAACCGGCTGACCCATAACATACACAAATAGTCAATTGATCACATCTCATATCCATAGTTTTAACTCCCCCTATTGACATTGGTAACATTTGAGAATGGAAATATAAAAAGAGCATCAGAAAAGGTGAGAGAAGGAAGGGATAAGTAGAGGGTGAATCTCACACCTTATAATCTTTAAGTCAAGAAAGGAATGATTAAGGTCAAGTAAGAACAATTCCTGGAGAAAACTTTCAGAGCATTACTAGGTTCCATTAACCATACTCTATGATCTCTACCATTCGCACTTCGTAGCTGTCTTTCTTCGAAAGGCAATAAGAAAGATGCATTTTTTCATTCCTTATATGACTATGAAGAGGAAAAGGGAATGAAGTAGAGTAAAAAAAAAGAAGTAGAAGCTTCTCCAAAGCTCTGCATCAAATTTCTTGTTGGAAAGAGCCGTTGTCATAAATAACTAACCATGCTTTTGCTTCTCTCATCTTTCTCCCCTCCGTTTTCAAGTTTACTTCATCTCCTTTCTGAGCAAATTTTTTTCGTCCGTCGTCTTCATCATCAAAACAACTGAAGAATAAGAGAAGAAGCAGAAGAACTCAGGAGAACGACGTTGACAAGAGGAAAGAACAAATCAGAACTGAAGAATCACTTCTTCCCTTACTCTTACTTCTGTAAGCCACCAGACAAATTTAAAAAATATTTGTTGACTTTAAAAAGAACATCTTTTGCCAGCTTCTTTTTATACAACAAGCTCCTATCCATATATAATACTATTTTCATTTGACCAATCTTCAATGACCATTTAAGGTAATTGCTCAAAAAATGTCATAAACTAAGACAAATAGAAGTCGAATAGGACCGGTCAAATCAAAAATGGATAGGCACAGATGAGTAAATACGACCAAATAGGGATGTGAGAGAACATGTGTCACATCGAGGTCGTTTGACTCATCATCAATCTCTAATCAAAATAAATGTTTTTTAACATAATATTATCCTCCCTACGTTTTGAACGAGAGAATATGAAAAGATGAAATGCTTGATTGAGACAGTGAGAAGAGATGGAATCCGAACGTTTGTACGAGGGCGGAATTTGGAATGAACGAAGATAAACTTCAAAAGCAATACCTCCAAATAAGGAGGAAGAAGAAAACACTTGAGAGGGAGAGAACGATTACAAAAGAGAAGTGAAGAGGAAGAGAAACAAGAAAAAGTGCAACAATACTCTTTTTCTCCCAATATACTCTTATAAAATTCAGATGAAGGCATACTTAATAACTGGGAATTAACCATTTCTTCGCTTTTTTTTCGTTTTTCTATTAATTGGATTGAGGAGAGAGAGAGAGTAGAAATGCCAACAGCAAGAATATGTTTGATGACGATGTAAAGACAGAAAAAACGATCAGAAGAGCTTAGTTTCCAACATGTGATTCTATGCAAAAGCTGCCAATTAAGATGCTTTTGCCATTAAATTTTATCCTCTCAATCATATAATTGTTGAGATGCTTTTTTCTTCTTTTTTCTCTTCCATACCAAAAATAAGGACGAAAATGGGCAGAGATTGAAGAAAAAAAGTATGTTCTCAGAAGAGGAGAAGCTTCACTTGAAAACTTGGAGGAAAGCTTAAATTCCCTAATAGGCTAATTATGAGGGTTAGAATTTACAACAAATCTGTTGAAAGTGGAGAGAGAATGAAAGAAAAACGATGGCTGAGAAAAGTGAGAGAGTTCAGTTTCCCATTATGGCTTTTTCAACACAAGTGATGTAGTTGAGCAATCACAACCCAGATGAAACAAAACTTAAGGTCAAAAGGAATGAGAAAATCACACAAACTATATTTTCAAGTCCAAAAAGAGAGAAAGAAACAAAGCCTTAAAAGGATTATGATTCAAACCAAAAACCATAAGGAAGTAGGCAAGAGAAGAACGAGCAGCATTTTGACTGAGTGACAAGAAGAAAAAAAGAAGAAGAAGAAGATAATCTATGCAAGAAAACAAGCTTAGAACGATATATCAAGGTATAACATAGATGATAGTTGAACAGCAAATGAACAAAAACAAAATAGGTATGGTAAGTGAACTAACCTGTTGATAGCTGGCAATGAGAGCATCTTCATGAAACCAATCAAGTCGTCGAACCAGTTGAGGCGATAAAAAGTCCGGCGCCATGTGAGTCTGAGAGAAAGGAAAATTGCAAAATAAAAGCTAATTATGATGAAGATGAAGTGAAATATTTTAATTTCATATATGGTTATGCATATAAATAAAAGAAAAAAAAGGAAAATTTTTGATCTCTTTCCATGTGAGTGATCCATGAAACATTTCAAAATAGTTTAAGAGCAAAGGATTGGAAAAGCTTAAAGTTGAAGTTATAAGTGTGACATGTTAAGAACATCAAAACAGAGATTATATTTAGATTTCTTAACTATTATACAACTTACTTGTATGAATGTTTCGGCAGGCAAACAATTTAAATAAGTTAAATTATTGTTTTGTGGAGTGACGACTGGACGTTCCGTTTGGGCAGCGACGCTTCTCCCATTCTGATCCAGATGGAAGAGGAGAAGGCCAAAATACAACAAAAACACAGATAAATTCATCGATGCCACAGCGACATTTGGGATGAAAACTTCTGAAAATACAATGAATGAATAACACCCTCAGGCAACTCATGTGGTGAGAAAGAGGAGGTACAGAGAGAGAGTGATAGAGAAAAAGGGGAGGGTGGAAAGATGAGATAAACGACTAAGGTTAGAAACAACCAGATATGGACATGGATGAACTCGTTGTTCATTTTGAACAACAAAACCCAAAAAAAGGCAGGTGGACAAGCAATTCATGGCACAGGAAGGCTTAACGAGAGTGAAGAAGAAAGAGACAAGCACGACGTTACAGAGGTAAAATTAAGTTGAAAGCAAAAAAAGATGGATGCGAGTCCAAGAGGTAGAAAGATTGAAGAATGGCTTTGAAAATAAATGGAAGGTGAATGCTTAAATGGCAATAATTAATCAAAGATCTCCGAGGCTATTGTTTGTTTGCTTTCAACTGGGCAAAAAGTTATTCAGGGGCGTTCCTTATACACATTCAGAACGAAAAAAAATGATGAAAAATGAGAATGAGTTTAATATTAAACAATTCATAATATAGGAAGATGTATATAAAAGTGAATAAAGTGTGTACTAACAGCCTTATGCTTTGCCCAAGATCGTTTTGTGAATTAGCCATATACGGCTGTTAGATTGGGCGGAGACTAAGAATAGAGAAGAGCGAGAGAGACGAGAAACGAGAGGACTGCCACGGAAAAAGGGGGAGGAGTCTAATGGCAGGGAGGAGATGCAAGAAATAACATTGAATACTTAAAAGAGAATAAAATGAAAGAAGAGTTGAAGGAGTGAAAAAGAGGAAAGATAGGATTAAGAAATAGGAGAGAAAGAGAGAAAGAGAGATGTAGAGAGAGAGAGAGAGAAAGAGTTGACGAAGAGAAGAAATGTTGAAAACGAGAAAAAAGAAATTACTCAAATATAAATATCAGAGAAATCAGAAGTAAGACTGGCATCTACATCTTCCAAACAACAACCCGACGTTCCAGATGAACAATGGGCGTGTCGTTCGCTAGTAAGAACAGCATACCTCCTTCCCCCGCATGCAATAAAACGGTCGAGAAAAGGGGCGGAACTTGATTAGCATAAATGATTGTCCAATACATAATGGTTCACAGTTTTCTAAGAAAAGATTCTAAAGCGAAATACCTCGAGAAAGGATGAGCGAAGTGTTCTTTTCACTTCATATTCCTTCGTCTCATTGAGTTTCCTCTATGTATTGTGCAGAGATCCAAAGCGAACATAGGCCTGAAACATATGAAAAAAAAACTTTTTCGAAAAAAAAGAAAAGTCGATCATCTTCATATTCGTAAACGAAATAAGCTGAAAGTTATAAAGTACTTTAACAGTATTTGGATTATATGAGATCTCAAACACTCTCCTAGTATCTACAGCTGACGAAACGAAAGAATTGATAAAATGAAATGCTCAACTGAATGACATTCTGCTCATTCGCATTTCCAAATATGAACAACTTCAATTTCAGATGAAAAACGTCTAAAGCATAACTATTTCCTAAACTTCATGATGACAAAACAAATAATTCGATTCCCTATAATATGCAACGTTCAAAGCCAATATGATTTCTCTCTAACTATTACTGCTCATATGATACGATGAACCTTCAGAACATTTTTTTTTCATTCGAAATGTAAAGCATCTGCAGCCACTCAGATGTAACAAATTATAGAAACAACAACTAACTTGATAATAGAAAATATATATTTTCTCGTAAATTATATTCGAATATCTCTTTAATACTTGAGGTACTCATACGCAGGCCGACAGAGCGGAAAATCGAATGAATGAATCATCGAGTGATAAGAGAGTAAAAATTGTATGTAGTTTGTTTGATTATTGAAAAAAAAAGGTGTGTTATCTGGGGTTTGTCATTATCATTTATAATTTGTCATGTATGAGAAGCCATTAGACATTTTCATCATATGATGATATATGCAAAATCAAAACATTAATGGAACATATACTAAGTTTTAACTGTCTTTTATACTGAGGTTTAATAGGAATTAATATATCAATGGTTGTATCCAATCAATACCCAAACTTAGCACTGAAGATTTTGAAATACTTTAAATCAATTGCTCGATAGTTCTCAATGTTGATTGACACCCCGATTCGATGAACAGCTCTATGAAAGCATAAAAGCTTCAATTTAATCATTTTCTGTTATAAACAGTCATATTTTTCATTATGGAACTATTCAATTTCAAAGGACTGATGACTGTACTATTCAATTTGCTTTTTTACTTCTTGCCTGCTCATTACTGGATAATCGTTGGATGTTTTGCTGCATATCTCGTCTGTGAGACATTTCATTCGTATTTGAAGTATTATGTGAAATCAATGACTGATTTGCAAGAAGAAATAGGAAATGAGGGTGATGTAAGTTATCTTCGAGACAGAAAACATTAGCAGTTAATTAAGCTTTTCAAAGTTCTTAATGGTAAAGGATAACGCAATCAACTGTCACAGTTTATAGTGGTCCTCTGCTTAGTTTATTCAATTTTTAGTAAGAAAATATATAATTTATAATTTTGAAGTATTTTCTTCTCAGCTAGCCACCAAACACAGTTAGTGTTCTTGTTCAGTGGAGCGATTTGATTTCTTTTTATGATGTTGACTCTGTATTACTAATCCATAAAACTGGACACCTGGCTACCAGGCTACAAGTAGCCGTTCGTTTTCTTTTATAGAAGAAATTTTAATTTTTCCATTTTTCAACCACTTCTAGAAAATAGTTATTCTTTAGAACGTTCTTCATCGTTAATGTGAAGTTAAATAAAGTAGTTTATTCATTAGTAAATATATGCATGACCATTTAAGTAAAAGAACAAGATGATATAGATGACTGCAGCTCTCCTTGACAAATGATCAAGCCTTGAGCAGATGGTTCACGATTTATTGCTTAAGAATCTATTCTTCAATACAGAAATCCCTGTGTTCTTCTGAAAATATCTCGGGATGAAACGATTCCACGCAGAATCTGTCAGCTTTTTATTTTTATTCTGCAGATATTGTTTCAAACTATAATAAGCTTTGCTAATTATCATTATTATCTTATCAGAAAAATGATGACTATTAAGAACACGTCATCAGTCTATTATAAAAGGAGTGAGAAAGAATTTAGAAATTAAAAGAAAGCTACTAAGATGGGAGACCGAGAGATGGATAGAGTATTTGGTATTCAACTACATATTGCTACTGGGCTACTATTCGGATCTATTTGGTCTGCTAATCAAGGACTTCCTCTACCGGCACATATACTGCACGCTGGAATTCATGTATACATCTATTTTGCTTCACCGATCCATAGGTACTTTGACGAGTATGACAACGACTTAGTGGATTGGGATTGAGTCAGCGGATTGATATCAAAAGTGACATCATTAGGTGATAAGCAATTTTCCATTTTATTTGTTCAATGCTAGAATTGAAAAACATTGAAAAGTGATTAGTCATATTAGAATGAATTTATGGTATTGATAGTTATATGTTTATTTCACAAAAAATATGAATAGAGTAATCTCAAAATGAAATTCATTCTTAATAACAAAGTAATTTAGAGTTGCTTGAGAGCTTTATCCAAAAGTTCAAAAGTAAGATCGGCATGTTTCTTCTCGTATACCAAAGAAGGTCTGAAACGAAGAGAACGATCTCCACATCCACCGCAATGTAATCCGACACTGATTGCCTGTGCAAGAAATGATAATCAATAAATTAAAAAAAGATAATACTTTATCAACAAGTTGATCTCTGAGCGCGGGTGTTGGAAGATCAATAGCAGCAAAAGTTCCTAGTCCTCTAGCTTGGGAAAGTTTATCGGAATGAGAAGCCTGTAACACAATTAGTATGAAAACTCAGTAACAAAAACTTCTATCTTCAAAAGTGTTTTCAATAAAGGTAATAAAGTGAAACTGATGAGTTCATCTACTGACCTGGAGTTCGGCCAATTTTTTCTGGAAAACAGCTCCAACATCCTTGGATTTTTGGACGAGGTTATCTCTCTTAATAACTTCAATAGCTTTCTCTAAGAGGAAAAGTTTAGTTGGATCACCCATCCATGTGTTGTAAATTCTGTATGGCTGAAATATACAGATGTTTTGAGATCAACAACAGCTTCATGTATGCGTAGATTTAGAGGAAAACTTGCCTCCTTGATACGTAAATGTTCAGAATAGAAGTATCCTCCAGTCAACAACTTCTTAGAGAAAGTTACAATATCTGGGGGAGAAGACAGATTCCAATGCTGGTGAGCCCAAACATCTCCAGTAGCTCCACCACCAGTTTGAACCTAGGTTTCAACAAAAATAAAGAATGACATATAAGAAAAATAGTTACTTCGTCAACTATGAAGACAATTCCATTATTCTTGGTAATGTCTCTTAATCCTTGGAAAAATTGAGGGCTACCATAATGATCTCCACCCTCAGCTTGAATTGGTTCAACAATGATAGCAGCAACATCGTTGTCCTTAAATGAATCAATGATTATTTACAAACAAAGTTGAATGCCACAAACCTTCTTCTTCCATTCAACAATTTTCTCTTCGACATCCTTTAAGCATTCCTTATCCTGCTGGTCATTGTAAGCTTTGTTATCCGCTAGAGGATATTTGTAGCGTGGGAATTTGGCAATTGGCCAATCATGAGCGGGAATATCAACCTATTATAATTTGTAAAGAAAAAATGATCAAATGAAGTTGCACCTTATGAACGGCCTTGCTTCTAGTCACAGAAAGCATGCACAGAGATCTTCCATGGAATGCACCCTTAATAATTTTCAAAAATCATATATTGTCATGTTCGATTGATTTACTTGGAATCCAAGAACAGATAAGCTTGGTGTTCCTGGCTTCTTCTGAGACATACAACTATCCAAGTGTGCTTGATCAGGGGGGTTTCCACCGCGTCTTTGAGTCATATACCTATAACCATCTGTATTCAACAAATGCATAGTAGAAAGAACTAACCAGATGAAGGCAGTCTTAATCGCATTTTCATTAGCTGAAGTTCCGCAAAGCATTGTTTGGACAGCCTAAAAAGAGAATGAACCCCCGAATAGTTTATTTTAATTAATGCCTTAAGTCCCTTGGGAGCAATGGATGTGAGGGCATGGCTAATTCCATCAGCGAAATCTGTACGTGGGAAAGATCCAAGAGCTGGACGAGAAACCAAAGAAGTCTTAAAAAAACGAAATCGTAAAAAGAAAAAGTAAAATAAGAACAGAAGAAATCATATTGATCAAAGGCGACTGTAGAATACAGAAAAAGATAAAATATGAAGATAAACCCACAATCAGCTTATCAGAGCTCGCAACCTTCACCAAATCTGGATGATTATATCCAAGTGGTAGGGAAGAGATTTGGGTGTACACATCGAGAAGAGTGTTACCTACAACACATTACGTTTTGAATATCTTAAAATGTTAGTAACAGTACCATCAGCATCGACTACATAGTTTCCAAAGGACTTCTCATAATCAACGAAGACACGAACAGAGGTAGTTTGCTGAAAAAATGTAAATCATAAAAGGAACAGTAATCTTTGGTCATATCACTGATACAAGAATGGAATCGTTCCCAAATCGATAAAACGTTGTTTTTGACATGAATATGTCGAGTTCCAAAATATGTTTTAAGAAACTATTAAGCATTAAACTCTCTAATTGATAAGACCAAATTGCCAAAAGACAGTTGGCGCAGTGTTGTTCCTTTTCTGTTCTCCATCCTTCTTTTTGTTACTTCCTCTCTCTTTTTCTCTCTGTCCTGCTCGCTCTTATTCTCTCTTTCTATATAGTATGCTTTTCTGGTGTAACAATCAATGTGATTGAAGAAACTGCTGGTCAAATCACGCCACAAACAACTCCAGAAACGTTTTTTCATTGTTTTTGAATACAAAGACATACGTGAACGGGATCCATCTTCTTCTTCAATTCTTGAGACTTTGGTCCGGGGAAAGCAGTTCGAACTGCAGGCCCCGATGGCTCTTGGGAAGCAATTCCGCTGGCACATCGGACAGCTGAAAATAATTTTGTTCGTTTATATAAGAAAAGCCTCCTTGCTAAGATTATGAATGACCATAGACTACGCAAACTCTCTTTTTGGATTTATTCATTAGAACAGTTGAAGTCTGCTTCTCTCTTTACTATTTTAAATTCTATTGCTGGCACAAAAAGCATAGCACGACGAAATTTTTGGTTCGTCGATACTTTCACGAGTGGAGCGTTTAATGCGAAAAAACCGCGGAATATGAGCTCTTTGGCAGAAAATGCATATATTGCCCTTACAATTTAGTTGAAAAGTTCTATTCATTTCACAAAACAACTTCACTTTAAACTAAAAGCAATAATAAGGAAATACCTGAGACAGATGAACAACGACCACTTACTCGTGAGAGCATCGTTGGAAGCAATGTGATCTTGAGGCGGGGCGCGCTGAAATCGTTTACTATTGACCCGCCTTTATGAATGGCGAGACAAAACAGTTTTGGAGCGAGATTTGTCTTGAGTGCGAAAACACGGGTTTTATACTTTTTTATTACGACAAGTTCGTTCTTATTGTGCAACTATAACATCAGCTCACTCAATCCTTCCTAAATCACTAATCAACATTGTGTAAATTCAGAGAAACGATACATCAGAATGCGATCAGATAGAGGAAAACATGATTGAATATATTTTTTAAAACTATCCTTTTTATATTTCAATATGGCAAATTATCAGAGATTATAAATCCTAGAAACGCTTCAACTAGTAAAGCGATCTAATCTAGAAGGTGGTCCGACATCATCATGAGATCTCTTCGATATTTCTGAATAGCACTAGCTAAATCTTGTTCTTCTATTTTGGCAAAGTCATCCAGTCTTCCTGAGGCGTTTAGAGAAAGCTTAGCTCTGTTCACAACAGCAATGCGGCAAACCTAAAGCTTTCTTCAATGTAACAGTTTTAAATTTAATTTTATACTTCTTTCAGATCTGAACCCGAGAGGCCTTCCGAAGATGAAGCTATCGAGTCTAATGTAATTGCTGATGTATCGTGGTTTTTAAGAATAACCTGAGAACCATTCAATTGTAATGAAACTGCCATAAACCGTTTTACCTTTAGAATCTCTAATCGTTGATAACGGTTCGGAAGATCAACCTTAAACTTGGCAGGGAGTCGCCGTAAAATTGCCGTATCAACATCACCAGGTCTATTGGTTGCTCCAATAACTATTATCTGTTGCGCAATTAAACAATATGTGGTGAAAGTTGCGTTGCAATTACTTGATCATTTGTGCTCGCGAAACCATCCCATAATGTCATAAACTGAGCTTTCATCATAGCAGTTGCTTCGTGATCGTGCGATTGTCGATCTCTCAAAAACGAATCTGAAATATTCAATTTTGTCCGAACTGCTGGGAATCAAGCTTTATCAGCTTCCAAATTCTCTCTCTTTGACACTTCCGAGCGAACGCGTGATAGCTGTTCAATTTATGTTTTTAGTTTCAATGAGATCGGTTGTATTCAGTACTAACCTATTTCATCAATAAATATGATAGTTGGTTGGAACTTCGCAGCGACACTGAACACTGCTGCAGCAAGTTTTTGAGACTCGCCGTACCATTTATCAGTCAAATTTGAGACTTGTAAGTTGATAAATCTAAGGTATTTTTCCTTATAATTCCATGCTGATGAGGAACCTGCATTTTGCTGCTCTCGCCAATGCTTTAGCTAACAGAGTTTTACCGCAGCCTGGAGGGCCATAGAGTAAGACTCCTTTAGGAGGGTAAAGCAAGTTATTAGTTGTCTGAGAAGCAAGTCTCAGGGGAAGAATGATCCTGTCCTGCAACTCATTGACCAAATCGCCATACCCACCTAAATATTATTTACACAACATACACAACCCTGATGGCACAACAGACCGATTTCATCCCAGCTCGCACCATCATCCTCGCTGCTCACGAGCTGCATAGCGATCTTAAGCTCATGCTCGTCTAAATCCACAGAATGTTCTATTCCAAGCTCTTCAAACAGCTTCGCCACCTGACCGACATGTCATTCCCAATTCATCACAGTACTCCCAACCTTTTTCTTATTCTCTTCTTTCGCAGCATAGGATGGATCCAAGTGTTTAACCATATACCGAACAGAAAGAAATGATAACGAAGCTGCTGCTACGAGTCTCAAAGCTATACCCAAAATCTCATATCTATCTGACATCTATCGAGAAGAACATTACTTATTATTGAAATTACATAAGATACAATTGGAAAGCCGTTAACAACAAATACATTATCAACAATCTTTATCTGTTTATAACAAGAACAACGTAAATTAGTTGGAACGAACAGAGACTTGCCATACACGGATAACATTGTCGGTGTAACCAGCATATAAGGTCTGTCCATCCTGGGACCAGGCGAGAGAGGTACACTGTGGGGCAGCGGATCCGCTCTTTCCAGTTCCGGTGACATCGGGCTTGAGCTCTTCGAGCTCTGATTTGTCTTCGAGATCCCAGATCTTGACAACTGGTCCAACGGCGGCGCAGAGCCAGTAACGGTTGGGGGAGAAGGCCATGGCGTTGATGATGTTGTTTCCGTTGAGGGTGTAGAGGTGCTTGCCCTCGTTGAGGTCCCAGAGCATGGCTTGTCCGTCTTTTCCTCCGGAAGCGCAGAGGGATCCATCGGGAGAAACGGTAACGGTGTTGATGTATCCAGTGTGTCCAACGTGGTTGGTCTTCAGCTTGCAGTTACCAAGGTTCCATACCTTGACGACCTTATCCCAACCGGCGGAGACGATGACGGGGTCGCGAGTGGAGGGAGAGAATCTAACGGTAGATACCCAATCTTTGTGGCACTCATCCTTTAAAAAAAAACAAAATAAGAACACAATATAAAACAAAAATTGAAGAAATAAATGAACTTACAGTGATAGTGTACTTGCATTGAGCAAGAGTGTTCCAGAGCTTGATGGTTCTATCGCGAGATCCGGAGACGATTTGTCTGTTGTCAGCGGAGAAAGCAACAGAGAGAACGTCCTTGGTGTGAGACCAGAATTGTCTGGTGGATTGACCGCTTAAGCAAAAAAATTAAAATACAAAACATAAATTGATACTTACGTGTTAAGATCCCAAAGACGGAGAGACTTGTCCCAAGATCCGGAGAGGGCGAATTGTCCATCAGAAGAGATGACAACATCGGATACGAAGTGAGCGTGTCCAGTAAGAGACTTAACTGGTCTTCCGATAGTTCCGTGCTCACTGGCTTGGTTATCAACCTCCCAGACGAGGATGCTGCGATCTGAGAAAACATGTTCAAACAACCATTTCTTTTAAAAATGATACCGCGAGAAGAAGAAATAACGGTGGTCTTGTCACCACGTGGGAAGGTGGCGATTTGGGTTACCGCTCCGGAATGACCGTCGAGGGTACCCTTCAGTTGCATTTGCTCTGTGATTCCCATGTTCTATGTGACCCAGTCGATGAAACTGAAACAATTTAACACTACTAAAACCAAAAATATATGTAAAACTTGAAAATATAATAATTTCGAAATTCATTAATAATCTAATAAAAGAGAGTTCCAATAGTATACAAGAAAAATTTAGAAAACAAGACTCTTCCCAAAATTTTGAGCGAATTCTCTATCGCTGCCTAAGCAGTCTACGGTAGTTCCACTTCGATAGTCATGGTGGTCGTGGTAGGACCTTTTGGCGTTCTTTTCTTTTTTAACCTTGAGTGAGCGGTTGTATCCACATAACGCTGTTCAAGATTTCCATTAAAGCGCTAAACTGTACTAAGCTGGATTTCGGACAAAAGCGGTTGTTTTTGTTTTCACTGCTCAGGTAGTTTCTAATCAGGTGAGGGTAAGTTTTATCTTCATTTTTAACTTTATTTTGAAATTTAAAATGTTTTTTCACCGGGGGAAATCAGTTTCTACAATGTGGTTACAGTATAAGCTAAAAAATCAAACGAATAACTATATACTTGATATGAAGATATATTGAAACACAACTTATCGTTTTTTCCTCAATTTTTATCCTCTGTGTCTTCTTCCCCTATGATTCTTGTGGACAAAAGCATTCCTCTCAATCTAAACGAAAGAGTCCTTACTTCTTTATTCTATGACAACTTCTTACATTTCCTTAAGAAATGTTTCGTGGTAGCCATTCCCCTTTTGAATGTTTTGTTCTCCTGATTTACAAGAGAGGCTTTATTTTCTTCGCTATCGATCAATAACGCGCTGACCAGTTCAGCCGCCACGCTCAGTCTACACAGTGTGTTCTCAAAGACATCTCTGTGAGAGCTCTTTGCTTTTCAATCAGATGTGCGCAGTTCGTTCTTGCTCATAATATATGATTATATACATTTTTGGCTTTAGTTCCGTTTTTCCGGAAAAGCCAGGATGTTAACCTCGACGCTTTTTTCTTAATTTTCTTGTTTTTATTGCTTGTCGTCTTAAATCGATGTGTATGACTTTAAAGTGGTAGTCATCATGCTTTGCCTGTTTTCAGGTTTTATTTTTTTAAATATATGGATCCAATAAACGATGCAAGGTTCTATGAATCACTCATTAAACTACCAGATCAAAGAACTTCAGAGGTATTAAAAGACAGTAAAATTCATCAAAATCTTTGAAACATAGGATGTACGTAATATTTACGATCAGTTGCGGCAGCTAGAGATGTTCGCAAATTTATATGATGCTCCACTTAAAGCTATTTGTGCTTCTGCTAGATATGAAAGGCATTCTGTCCATCATGTTCTCTTTAGGTTTGTATAAAAAAGCAATCAAGTTAGAAATACAAACCCTTCCAGGCAAGGGCAGGTTGCAACTTGTTGGTACATTTTATTGTCAGGATCTGTTTTGATAGATGGTAACGTTTGTTTGCCATACGGATGGTGAGTTCCTGTTTCTTTCCATCATTCTAAATTTTTTTTCTCATTTTCATGAACCTTAACCTACTAAAAATCATAAATATACGCTATCGATTATCAAGATCGTCTTATAAAGCTCCCCCGGCTAGCACTGTTATTATTCCAACCCATCCATGTTTTCGCTCCAATTAATCCAATAGTTTCTATTACGTTTTATATCTGAAAATGTTGGTGTTTAGAAACGCCTTTGTATATGATATTCCCGGCCTGGTTGGTTATCCATTTCTTCCCAAGCGCTAATCATTTGTATATCGCCCCTTTCACTAGTCAGCCGTGACCCATTTTGATACCTTTCTGATCAAGACTGATGTGATTAGTCTCTTCTGAATTCCCATTTCAACGTCATGGGCTCTGAAGGTTTACCTGTTTCCCCATCTTCTGAAAAAATAACTTTCGAAATGGAAACCATCTCATACCCTCCTACAATAATCTCGATCGATGATGATGATAGTTCTGAGTATGTCATTTTGAGGTACCCTTTCATGTTAAAAAATTATCAAAATTGAAAAATGCACTGCACTTCTTGCTTGTGTTGTTTATTTATTTATTCTTGTTTAGCTTCGGCAAGCGTAATTCGCTCAACTATAGAAGATCACAGGATTGTATATGTTTACATGAAGCAGAAATGATAGTGGTAAGACATTTTTCTTCGAAGTTTTCTTTTATCATCAAAATTCCTTACCATCTTCTGTTTCCTCCGTGGTATTCGCACGTTGTTTGCTGATTGACTACCTCAATTCAAACAAATTGCTCCATTTTCGCTACTTATTTCGTTCTGCTATTAGCGTGTTCGTAGTCTTTCTGTTCTTAGCTTTTCCTTTTCACTATACATGCAATTTCTGAGATAATGACTTCTTTAATAGGGACTCTATCCCAATGTCACGCAAACGATCTCTTGAATCTTTCGTTTGGTTTTTGCCGAATGTCTTTGATGCCTTCGTTCCTTCCTATTTTCTGTTGTCCTCTGAATTCATTTGATGCACCCTTGTTTATGACCTCTTTTCCCGGAATTTGAGTAAGCTCTGTGTTTGCAGATTGATTATCCTGACGTTGCTCAAAATAATTCGGTACGACTATATCCTAACAGAAATCGTCCTCCAGTTCATTCGGCTGAAACCGATGCTTTAATAATGCCTCCTCCACCAATACCTCCTCCAAGGCCTCCTAGATTGCCAAGACCGTCGGATGCTCAGAATATATTACCCAGGTTTTTTTCATATTTACTTGTTTTGAGACTTTTCATTTTGAAGAAGTTATCCTGTGAATGATTTTCCTGTTGATGTACCCTCGACTTCTTTTCCCATAGGAACTGATATACAAAGCAGAGGTGGCAAAAGCCAGGTAAAAGAGAATAATATTTTTCTTCCAATAATATAATTTATTTCAAGGTTTTCATAAATGGTTCGTGTGGTGATGAAGATACTCTACGAGTGAAACATAGAAGAGAGAAAAGTAATTCAATGGGTAGTTCTCAGAGCAGTGCTGCAGCACGTCGTAATCGTGTTCGCAGGTAAAACTCTTTTTCACCTAACATCTTTATTTTTATTTTTAGTACTGCTTCATCTACAACGACAGAAGGTGAAGAGCTAGGCGGTGAACCGGTAGACTCAGACGAGGAAGATGACGGATCATGTCCCTCTCATGAGAGTTTCCTCGACTTGCGTGACTCAGTCAGAGAATGCCTGGAGAAAGAACCGTCTGAACGGAACGCAGAAGATTTGGCTGTTCTACTGGTTTGTTCTACATAGAAGCACTCTGTAGTTCAATTTTCGGCTAATTCAGGATTTCATGCAACACATGTCTGCTTTTGCTGCATTGCCCATGACGATAAAAAGGCAACTCTGTCTAAAAATGGTGTTTGCTGTCGTAAATGATGCTGGAACAGTTGTTATGTATCATAACGAAAAGCTGGATTCTTGGTTGGTCACTTAATGAATTCCTTGTCATCACAAGTCCATTTCCAAGGTCCGTCATTGTAAATGGATTAGTGGAAGTAGTAAAACCGAATGGGGATCGTGTTGAGTACAAACTTGGAGATTCGTTCGGAGCGGAACCCGTTCCTACCGTTCAGTACCATGTAGGAGAAATGAGAACTTTAGTAGATGATTGCGAATTCGTTCTGGTGGAACATAAGGTTAATTAGAAAAAAATTTCGAGAAAAGCATAATCAAATGTAGGACTTTTGCTCCATCATGTCCACTATGTCGGAACACATAGAAAAAGACAGAGACGGTACAACGGGAGAAGTTACAGCAGAACACGAAAGAAGAACATTGGGTAGTCAAAGTGGCGCCGTTATAATTAAGGCTAAGGTTAGTATCTCATCATATCGAACGAAAATAGTTGAACATCTTTTCAGCCTGATAGGTTAATCCAACATTTGGTTGAAGATCGAGACAAAAGTTTAGATCCGCATTATGTTGAAGATTTCCTTTTAACGTATAGAGTGTTCGTTCAAGATCCAACTCAAATTTTTGAAAAACTTATGCTTCTATTTGCTGATGCTCAATATCGCGACAAGGTATTCCTTTTCACTTAATCGTATAAAACATTTGATCTAGGTCGCTCGTGTAATTTTATTATGGGTTAATAATCATTTCAATGATTTTGAAACTAATGACGATATGATGAAATTGCTCGATAGGTAATGGATGCATGATAGTAAATCTAACCGAACTGATTTTTTCTTAAAGATTTGAAGGAGCATTAGAACGAGACAACATGAATAGTCAACAGAGCCTTCTTAACATCGCATGTTCTGTGAAAGCCCGACAAAGAACAATTTCGTATAAACGAAGTAACAAGGTGAGCTTTGATATATTCAAATTCATTCTTCATCATGAATTATCAGGATGAACCGCTGAATTTCAAAATGGCCAGCAGTAAAGATTCTGCTGGAGGTGGTGTGTTCATATCAGATGTTATCCCCGATACTACGGCTGAGAGAGCTGGGCTTAAACGTGGTGATGAAATCCTTGAAGTCAATAATCAAAATATGAAGTTTATATCTACAGCGAGAGCTGAAGAGCTCATTACGGTAGCTGTTTCGGCCATATGTTGAAGTTATGAAATTTCGTTCAGGGGTCACTCAGCGTAAACATCGTTGTGAAAAGTAATATATTTGGTTTCAAAGAACTATTAGAACGTACTGAGAGGGATATAAATGGACCAAAAACAAGAACAAAGTCCCTTGCGGGAACTTTATGCCAAAGTCGGAACAGCATTCCTTCAGTCATTCCTGTGAAAACTCCAAAAATAGTAAAAATGATGGGTATGCGTCAAAGTCATTGGAATATTCTTTATGTATCGTTTAGGCACAAAAACTAGCATGATGGACAAGATCTTGACTATGCTTAAATCATCTAAAGATGATGAATTTATCGATGAAATCGGCAGAACATCTTCAGAATTACGCTCGAGTAGATCTAATCCGGATATCGCTTCGTTATCACAGTATTATGGACCCGTGAAAAGAGAGTGTCCTGAACATGTTTTGAAAATATACAGGTGTAGCTCTATACTCAATGACAATAATATCATGATTTTTTTAAGGGGGGATCAATCATTCAAAATGTTGCCTGTATATAAAGAAACAACTGCTCAAAACGTTGTACAACTAGCTCTACAAGAGTTTGGAATGACAGCGGAAGGGAGCTTAGAATGGTCTCTCAGTGAGTGTACTGTTACGGAAAATAAAGCGATAGTGCAACGTAAGCTACCTCCACAACTGGACAACTTGGCTGAAAGAATAGGATTGAACAGCCGGTAGAGAACAATATTTCCAATATATGTAATGTATCTGAGTTCTTTATAGATATTATTTGAAAAACAATAATCGCTCCGAACCTCTGATTCCCGATTCCTTGGCAGCAGAAGTCCTGAAAGAAGCTCAGTCAACACTTCTCATGTTAAACGCTCATGTGAGTTCTGCTTTGATTACCACACTCTTGCAAGTTTCAATACGGAGCTGTCCTACGAGTGGATGAACCTCTCTGTATTATCAACATAAAGAAAACAGTATTTAAATTTTTCGACGTTTTTCTTAAGACATTTTTAAGAGACTCATTGATTTCAGATAATATTTTTCTTGTCATTTTCTATTATAATATGTTCCATTGATTCAGGTTGTGGCTGCCCAACTTACTCTTCAGGATTTCAGCGTGTTCTCTTCAATAGAACCTACCGAGTATATTGATAATCTGTTCCAGTTGAACTCGAGGTAACACCGACCTAGCGTTACTGTTTACTATCCAGTTTTCAGATATGGTTCTCCTCGTCTACATGATTTTGAACAGCTTTTCAATCGAGAAATGTGGTGGGTTGCCACCGAGATTTGCCGAGAGATATCGTCACAGAAGCGTACCAAGCTGATTAAGAAATTCATTAAAATCGCAAGGTATTATCTTGGAGAAAAACGAAGAAAAATAGTTTTCTTCAGACATTGTCGGGAGTTAAGGAATTTCAATTCCATGTTCGCCATCATGAGTGGTCTTGATAAACCTGCTGTTAGAAGAATGCACACAACATGGGAAAAAGTTCCGGGGTAAGCATAAGAATACAAAACTTTTAAAACGCAAAATTCAGAAAATATATGAGAATGTTGGAAGACATTCAACAACTTGTAGATCCTTCACGAAATATGTCTAAATATCGGCAGCATTTAGCGGAGGTTTCCCAGGAACCACCGGTTCGTAATAATGTTGAATCTGCAATTGATTGTCCGTTTCTAGGTTGTTCCCATATATCCAATTATTAAGAAGGATCTCACATTCACTCATGAAGGCAACCCTACTTATGTAGATAAATTGGTTAATTTTGAGAAGCTTCGTCTGATAGGAAAAGCTGTTCATATAGTCACCAAACTAAGTAGTGTACCTTATGAACTTTCTAGCATGGCAGAGAGGGTAAGTGATTGCATTCTATTTCAATCTAAATGGCTATGTATATTCAGAGTGGAGGTACCATTAACGATGCACTCATTCATATGAACAATTTCGAAAATGGGAACGTCGCTACTATGAGGAAAGGCGGGCGAGTCAATAATCAACAGCCGAAAAAGGTTAATTCCTTATTGCTAATCTTCATATGCATTTTGTTTAGGTATACGAGCAGGCTCTAATGGTTCGCAAAGTGAAGGCTTATCTGTCCGACTTGAAAGTCATTGACAATGAAGCGGAGCTGGACAGATTAAGCTATCACATGGAACCAGCACAAGCAACCATGAAAGCTAGAAGAGCTCCAAGCCCTTCTCCTTCTTCTTTGTCTTCGCAATCTACTGGATCTACATCAACCGAACAGCGCAGATTCATGGGCACCAAGTTTGGTGTTCAGTCACCTCAAGCAGTTGAGAAGATGTTCTCATTGGTCCATTCTAGTAAAGTGAAAGGTGATTTGATTGAAAAATTCGTTTTTCAATTCCATTAATTCAGAAGTAGCGCCTTCTCCCTCTTCATCGCCGGCTTCTGGTAGATTACAAAGAAACGTCCCACGTGTAACTCCTCGTCAGTCATCAGCATCATCTATACATCGAATGCCATCTTTCAAACAAGAAGCGGTAGATTTGAATCAGGAGACGAGCGCCGTAACAACTTTCCATGGCAAAGGTTTGAACTTTTTTATTGTTAATTCACCAAAAGAAACGAAACGGTTCATCATTTTTGAGAAATATAGTACTTGTGATGAGAATTGAGTTTTCGTCTCTTTCAGATGTATTGATTTGAATCAAAGAAAGGATAGGGACGTTCGAGTAAGGTAATGTGCAGTTCACTAAAAGCTTTTTCTGCTAATCACACTAACTGCACGTTGATATGAGTGTTCGCTTAACTTCTAAAAAAATTCTAACATGTCCTTTCCAACAACTACTTTTCATGCTACGAGTTCTCATAATTTCTGTTGCAGATAGCAGTTCATCAGCTTCTTCTTCAGCTTGCTCTTCACCCTCTGTATATCGTAATAAATATAGAAAGTAGGGTTTATTCTTCAGTTATTTCTCTAACTATTAATTTTAGTGCTCGTCTTCAATCAAGTAGATCATCTTATCCAGCTGGTAATGGAGGTGTTCTTCTTGGTCATCGGGTTGTGCCTCATTTTACGCCATCTAATGGAGTATCAAGTAGAAATCATAAGCTCACCACAATTCTAGACTGTAAGGATTTTTTCGAATCTGAAAGAGACCCAGACCATGCGTTTTCAGCTAACTTGTTGAACTCCGAGCAAGTATCGCGAGTCTAGTCTTGAATTTGGTTTGAATAGCTTCTCAAAAAGATACGTGTATGTTTACGGCTGTGTCCTTATTTGAAACATTTGTGATATCAAAGTTTATTTATATTTCTATGTTTACGGTTTTCATACTTTCAGTTTGTTTTTATATAGAGTACTCTCAATTCAGTAGAATATCATTTGCACGAGGTGTTAACTTATCATCTAAAAGCATATATTAGCTATCTCAGAGCTCACTTATTTTGCGATCAGTCTGTGATTTTTCTTATTTTTTCTTAAGGGCTAACATTGTTTACTTATCTTCTGTGACATATACTAATCTCTTGCCATGCCATATGTGGCATAATAATGTGGCATAATTTTCTGTAATCTCGATTTAGTTTCCAATCTTGATGATTTCTAATACGGTGCTTGTCATGTTTTTCAGGTTTTTTCATGAACGCATTGAAGTTCAATGCTGTCTCCATCTAATCTCTTCTTCTCATGCATGCATTTCAGTTTGTAAGTAACAACTTGCTCAAATCGTGGTTGAAATATTATACCAAAGAGATATAAATATAATCTATTCGATTTCGTGTTTTTTTAGTTTTTGAGGTTCATAGCCATATATTTCAAGATAGCTTTCCAGCTCATCTGTTCTAACCTAAGCTCAGAGAAAAATGGCCGCTCCTCGTATTATAAGCCGTGTGAATCCAAAGAACACTGTTCTTTTTGTGTGTGATCTTCAGGAGAAGTTCAGGTTCATATATTCATGGACATGATCTTCTTAAAACCTTTTTTGAAGTAAAACCATCCAATACTTCCCGGAGATCGTGACTACTGCAAAAAGATTGGTTGATACTGCCCAAATTCTGGGTATGAAAACAATCGTCACTGAGCAATATCCTAAAGGGCTTGGTCACACTGTACCAGAGTTGGGCATTGATCGTACAACAACCCCAGTCTATGAGAAGACAAGAGTAAGAATTGTAAATGTGACATATTGGAAGATAACCTGACTTTCAGTTTTCGATGTGTGTTCCACAAGTTGATACGTTATTGAAAGAATCGAAGAATGTTATTTTATGCGGAATCGAATCGCATGTCTGTATCTTGCAGACAACTTATGATCTTTTGGACAAAGGCTTAGAAGTTCACGTCGTCGTCGATGCTGTTAGCAGCCGATCTTTGGCTGACAGGTAACAAGGCTGTTTAGTTTACCCTAGTTAAAATACAAATGCAACCGCTCTGTGTGGGCATAAGCAGTAAATGAAAAAGTTGAACATAATTGGGAAGGCTCAGAGGAACACTCAATATAATCCGAATGCTATAGGTCTATTCGCAACATTTTGTATTTATTTTTTGAGAAGGTACCCTGGTTCTCCTTATTATCGCCTGTGCTCCAAAAGATGAATGATTTTTCGAATTGGAAAAATTGTTTACTTTTTGTCTGCTTTGTGGCGCCAGCATGTTCTTCACATTGTGTATCATAGCTCTCCGCTGTTTTCACGGGAATCTTTAAGATTTCGCGACGAAAGTCTCTGATGTCTTACATACATAAAAGCTCTCTTTTTTTACCAGTTGTCATCTTGTTCACGTTATCATGTTGTCTTATGTTAACACGAGATCGCTAGTCCTTCTACTGGTCTTAATAATGACGTTTTTGAAATAGAGCGTCCCGTTTACTTAAGTTACTTCTATACTTTTCCCTTAATCAATCAATATTTTCCATCATTGATGTACCTATAGACACTGGATTGTATTGATAACAACTCTATGTGCTATCATGTTCCTCGAGTACGTAAATTGAAAAGAGCGAAAGATTATTGAACTCGTAAATGACAGTTCGTGTAAATTTAACTTTTTCGAGTGACTGGCTCAGCTGATTATCACCGACTCCGGTTTCGATAATGACCACCTTGTCATTGATGTTTGCGAAAGAGCGCATCTACTTGAACTTTGTGCGAACATTCATCCTCACTTCCCTATCCATACTGTTTACATCAAACTTTTTTCAGGAAGTTCGCCTTCAAGCAATTGGAAAAGGCCGGTGCTGTTCTGACCACTTCCGAATGTGTGATTCTTGGATTGGTTCAGGACTCTGCTCATCCGAAATTCCGTGAAGTTCAGAAATTGATAATGACATCTGCCCCTGACACTGGATTGGTCAGCTCCAAAGTGTAGATTACTATGTAGTCACAGTTTGTTTAATTAACCATTTGCTTGTAGTGGGTGAATACTTCATGTATTACCCATTGAGTCCTGTATTTAGACATATAGTATAAAGTTTATACAGATTTATACAAAAAAACGACAAATACTTGATCAAAAACAAAAAAAAAAAATAAAACCGAGCTAATATGCAAGATACCCACAGTTAGGAAATCGAGAAGTCCAGAGACTGAACTGGAACTGAACAACAAACAAACATAAAAGTTGGAGCTCAGGTTTGAGAATTCAAGCTTAAAACATTTCTAAATACATATTGCTCATTATAAAAAGCAAAATAAATGGAGACAAAAGAAAAAAACCATGTTGTGGACATGGTCCAACGAACATAAGGAAGAACCTGGATAGTTTGTACAAATCGAGAGATTAATACCCGTCTGAGAGCTTCAAGCCAATAAAAAACGACTGGCTTACTTTTGCAAAATTACAAATAATATATTTGGATGAATGATGTGTTACGGATGGTACACAACCAAACTACAATGGAAGCTTAAACCTTCAAGGCTATAAAAGTAGACTAAGTGAAGAAACCTATCATCGTCCAGCCCACATAGACAGGAAGAGAGAGTGACAATTCTTCAGGAAAGATGTTAATCTATATGATATCGACTATATATACAACATAGAAATGAGTAAAATGTTGTTAGAAGAGAAATTGAGAGATCGTTTGTTCAACTAAGTACTTAAGAATTTCCATTTTTCAGAAGAATTATCATTTTCAAAGTTTAGAAGAACGATAAACGTCTATTAGCCAAACGATTATGTGGCTTAATACTTCCATAATATCGAAGCAAGAAATTGCGAACCTGTAAATATTACAAAATAAGAGAGTTTCTGATGTGTGTAACATACCTGACGACGACTAAATTGTCCACCTGAATGGCAAGTTGGGCAGAGGAATGGTGGTGGGAACTGCATTTTATTGAATTGAGGATCTTCAGTAGCATCACCATGTAGGCGATTGTTCACGATATTATGAGCACGCCACAGGTATGTCATCATATCATGTGGGTGACGGACCTGAAATATCCGAATTAATTCATTTGTTGAATGCATTTTCAAATACCCGTCGTTCGTTTAATGGGAATTGTGTAGTTGTCATGTGCATGAAGTGATTTTTGCAATGTTGGCAACCAAAATAGTTCTTGACCCAACCCTAAAGAAACATTTTAAGAATTCATCGAGGAAGACACATTCTCAAAAGTACACGAAACCAGTTGAATATACTCACCTGGATATCACGTAATGGCTTAATAGCATCTACATGGTCATCTTTAATTGTGTCGATGTAAGTGTGGACAGTTAAAGCATGGAATGTTGTCCACAATCCGCATGTATATCCTCTTAAGAGTTTATTTGTTGAAAATGACAGACTGAATGTCACTTACCTAAACATGGGTGAACTTCCACGACAATGCTGCCAAGTTGAATTGACTGGGAAAGGATTAGCATAGACACGCTGAAAATAACGTTCATTGCAATCAGGAGAAAATAGAATTTTTACCTCGACATTCTCGAATTGACGTTTGTAATCATCAACTGAAACCATGCGTTGATCACGACGAGATTCAAGATATTCTCTCATGTGAGTGAAAACGAGTCGAGCACGTTCGCTGCTTTTCAAAATCTTGAAATATGTTTTTATTCTTGAAACATTCTGCGGTCATTAACAACTTACAGTAGAAGATGTCCGTCTTCCACGAGTTCGGAGATCGTTCGAAAAGGAAAGGACCGGGAAATGCTGAAGGAGACAAAGTTCAATTCATGAAAACCAGAAAGAGTACACTCACGTTTGATAAAAGAGTCACGAAATCAGTGAGTGCCGTATAGTTTTCTCCTTGAATATATCCAGGAGAACGAATAACTTCATCATAAATGGCCATATGCATGGCTTTGAGCATATCCGTTTCCGAAACATAGTAAAGATCACGGCAACTGTAAAGATATGTTGAAGAAGACTTATGAAAACTTTTTTTAAACTGAAGAGGGAAGGGGGTGGGGTCGAATATTTGAAATTTTATGTTGAAGAACAGATTCGAACAGATAGCTTCACAGCTTATTCACACCTTTAACCTTTGACTTGTCTTCTCTTGTTTGAAAGAAGAAAAAAGAATGAGAAGAGAAGAGGGAGTGGGTGAGAAGAAATAAAGAAAAGTCCGAGAGAGGTGTCGATGTTTTCGGCTCTCTTATCTGTTTTTTAAGTCTGTTAAGGCTGGAAATCTGAGCAAGTTTACTTAACATTTTGAAACATTTCCTGTTTAAACAAAGAAATGAAAATCAGAAGAAGCATCGGAGATTTAGATGAAAAAGAGGGTTTGAGCAAATAATATGATTAAAAATTGGTGAATAAGCTCTTCTTATCTTTCCACTTATCGGCTGCTCATTCGTATTTTTGTTCAAAATTGTGTGACTTTTTTTTTGTTCATGAAGTGGACAGAATTACACGACGTTCATTTGTTAATTTTTGTCTTCTTTTTAAATAAATAAAAAGAGGAAAAAGCGAGGAGAAGAGGGAGGAGGTGGAGGAGAAGATAAGATGATGAAAAAGAAACCTGTCTGGATATTTTTCACAATCAATTATTGGAGCTTTTGTTGTTGTTGATGGACGAGGTGTTGTCGTTGTCAGTAACATAATTGGAGGATTCTGATGAGAATTACGAGAATCTGATAATATAACATTATCCAAATCCTTATATGTACTGTTAGAGAATCTGCCAATGATACCAATTATATTTGTGATAAAGATGATTTGATTACCTTTGCATGTACAAAGCTTGTTGATGATCTCGTCGGAATAGGGCGACAGTTGGGAATTCACGAATTCTTAACATTTGTACCAATGGAGAATTGGATAATGCACGTCGTGAACCAAGAATGCCTCCACGAGATGATAAATCCAATAAGAACTGAACAAAATTATAAAATTGTCTTCTGTTAAATCAATGGCTTACTTGACTTCCAACGCCATCATACTCTTCAAAGATAATTGTCATATAATCAGCTGATTCGGCAACTCCTTGCCATAATTGACCATATGTAGTACGGCTTAAAAAGAATGGATAAGCGTGCCATTAGAATGAATTCAAAAACCTGTCTACGCTGATGTGAATGAAATTTGGCCAGTCAGGATAACGGAATAAAGAGTATTCATTGACGACAGTACGAAGTAACGAATCTCTCATCTGTTCTGGTGCATGAGGTGTGTCCATCATTTTTCCAGCTTGTGCATTTCGTGCTAACCGTGGAAAATACTGAAATATATTATCATATAATTATATAATCTACAGTTCATGCTATATATCCCAGATCAACGATCATTTCCTATTTTACTTCATTTTTTCACCAAAAGTAAAGTTGAGATGATGACAGTATAAAGTAACATTGTCATTGAATGTACGCAAAAAGCAAATAATGCCAAACAAATGTCTCTTTAAACTATAATATTAACTACCTCATACATATAGTTAACAGTTTTTCAACTTTCTGAACTTACTTTCAACATGGGGAAATGAGTTACACCATTCTCACGGCATATTTGAGTGTTGTAAGCATCTGCACAGTTCATAACTGCAACTGTTACAACATTATTCCATTCTTTCACCATTCCAGCGAATTGTCGGAAGAATGGAGCAAAAGCACGACAATGTCCACACCTGAAGCATAATTATGAATAATGAGCGATGAACCGGAATATGGGGTTGTTGAATGTCTTACAACAGTGATCAAACTACATACACTCGCTGCGAACGACAACTCCATGAGCAGCATAGTTATGGAAAGAACCAATTTTTGACATTGTTCTACGTGTTCTTCAAATACTTCCATACTCATCACGCATAGCTCATAATCATTGACTTCAACGTGATATGATTGTTTCTGGAGATCGTTCGCATGTTTGTGTACTCAATCGTGCACATGTACGATTTGAACATTTAAATGATTATGCTAGTTAATTACATTTGTAAAAACTCCCTTTTCTCACTTGTAACTTCTTTTTTCTCGAATGCAAACGATATTAAAGCCTATAGTTGAGTAAAAGCTGTGTGTTGATTGAACAAGACGTACGTGAATTTGATCGCAAACCGTTTTTTCCTCTTTTTTTTTTGTATTTGTTAAGAAAGTGAATGAGAGAAATGTTCTTTCTTTCGTCCGCGAAAGTAGTCGCCGTAAAGAGGATATCAGTTTCATAACAAAGCAAATACATTCCGGATGTTCTTTTCGGTGAGATGTTGTTGGTAAAATATTTCAATGGGATGAAGCTTGCCGATCAAGTAGTTCAACGGCAAAAACGTCTCGTCAATCTCACTCATTTGCTTTTACTTTAACGTCAACCAATTCATAAAAGTACCACCAAAAAAGAAAAACACACATCAATTTTTTGTGCAACGCCGCCAAAAAATGAAGAGAAAGAGAAACAGAATTGAAAAAACGTGTCTCTCTGAAACTTTTGCTCTCAAACTAGCTCAGTAGTACTTACCAATCAGCATAAAATTCAACCACAAAAGCTTTATCTTGTCCATAAACTGTATCAGAAAATGTTTGCTGGTCCAAATGCATGATGGGCTCAAATCCAGGAGTGTACAAAGTGGGATTACTGCCCATTGGCACGTAGTTCATCGAGGAGATGGCTGCATGTCCCACAGCCACCAAGGATAGGGCCCAATATGCCCAGAACATAGCCTGTCTACGAATGATAATAATTATAATCAAGCAAAACGATGAAATACAGAATAATGAAGGAAAAGGGTTACAAAATGAAATGTGTCGAAGATGAATGGGAAGAAATGAAAAACGCATTCAAGAGATCAGATAGGGTTGAAATGATTTTGAATAGAATTTCAAACGAAGAAGAATGGATAGAGAAACGAAAGTGAACAACGAGAAGAAGAAAAAAGGAGAAATGAAATGAGAAAAAAAAGAAAACGATAAGCTCACAAATTATTTTACTTTTTCCATTTCACCATTCCAGTCATGTATCGCACAAAAAAGGCAGAAAAAACATTGAGCGATGGTCGTCTTGAAAATGACCCGAGGCATTCAAACTTTTTGACATTTAAAGCGGAAGGTTAGTAAACTGCAAATACACGCCCCTCTTGTTTCTTGAAATCAAAAGAGAAAATACACATAGCACACAATGAAATGCGAGAGGAAAAAAGACTGAAAACGAGGGTGATAGAAAGAGAAAAATGGAGGAAAAGGTGGAAAAAGAAAAAGTTGATTTTTGCCAAGAAAAAAGTACAAGACGAGACAGAAAGATAGAGAGAGATGAAGAGAAAGAAAGAGAGTGAGAGTAATGAATGTTAAAGGAACAAGTTATCAAAGAAACTATTAACAGAAACAACAACAAGACATAACAACAAATAAAACTTGTTGGTCAAATGGCTGTTGCATGAGCATCAGTTTGTCTCCTAAAGGCAAATATGGTCAAACGTCAATGCCAAACGAAAAAAGCATTGACATGACTAATTATAGAGAATGCCATACTTATGTGAAAGTTGCACGTAGACAATCATAATTTTTTCCTTCTTATCAAAATCGTCGTCTGCACGTTGTTTACACGGACAGGGTAGGGGGTTGAGAGGACACAGTACAACCATACATAGTCTTAACTTCAAATATACGAATTGACTTATGGATTAATAATAATGAGGCTTTGAACTTTGACGAATGAAGAAAAAAAAGAAGAGAAGATTAAAGAGTTTTGCAGTGGCTGCATTAGTCGAAGGAATTTCAAACGTTCACATGATGAAAAGAAGCCTGATAATTGATAAAAAGATAAAAGAGGAAGAGCTTTAAGTTTATGAACTCATAAATAGAAAAGAAAAGAAATTAAAGAAATAAAATTAAAGCACGTGCATTGAAATATTTCTTGAAATCAAAGATAACCATTCTCCTCTCATTCTTCCATCACTCCTGCTATCCTCTCCTCCCTCTTTTTCTCTTTTAAAGAGCCAAATGTGCGAAGAACAAGACAAACACATCTTCACTTATGTTCATTAATCATGTTATAGCTTTATCTACTTTAAGCTTAAACAATCTAATCTTCTTTCGTCTTTTTCTTCTTCTTCAACAAAAATCAGAACAAATGTCGAGATTTCGAGAAAAAAGCGAAAGTTCACTTATGGATAAGGTCCTAAAGCAGGTTAATTGTCTGCAACTTTCTATTTCTATCGCACTAAGCTGCAAATATCTTTAAAGGATATTCCTATATCAGCTAGAAAGGGAGAAGGGACTTGAGAAATGTCAAGAATGGGTGAAACGTGATAATTCAAGAACCAAAAAATGTTTATTTCTAAACATTTTTATGATTAATTAGTTGGTATCAAGGCATGGATGGTTCTGTTGAATGAGTAGAAGAACTGCTTACTGTCTCTTTCTCTTTCAATCACTCTCGGTCTCTTCGTTTTTCTTTCACTCTCTTTCTCTCTCTCTCTCTCTTACTTTCTACTTACAACCACTTCTACCTCTCCCAATTACTTTTTTATTCTCAAAAAACAACAACAAATGCTTCATGTCAACTGTTTACTTTGAACATTCACAAACGTTTTGCTCTGTTAACCATTTATTTGATAATTATATCTAAACTGTTCAATATGTGACTCATCTCACAACGATTTCATGCAAGCTTTGAAAGGTCATCAAGTAGAATACGAAAAGAAGGGAGGAAATAGGTTTTCTACAACCCCACCCACCCACATTATCGTTTTTTCTGTCTGCCCAATGAAATATTCGAAACGCATAGAGGCTATCACTAACCAGACACCCACACATGGCCATTCCAAGAATCTTTTGAATGAAAGCAATTTCTTGAATATGACTCAACTTATAACCTAGATTGTTTAATTCTTACAAATAAAATAGCACCAATGGTCATGAAAACAGTTCGGCGCCATACTGTCTTAGAATGCATTGCTTATCAGATGGGAAAAACTCAGGAAATTTATCGAATTCTAAGCAGTTACCTATGGAATCAGAATTCAAAAGTTCAGAATTAAACTAGATAATAGAGAGAATAGAAATGTGACGTCCTATATCCTTCTCTCTTTCTCTCTCTCTTAATAATAACTAGCAATGCTTGTATTATTACCTGTATAGGGATAATGATATATCAAAAGAAGAGAGAGAATATATGAGAACGAACGACCATACCATGATAATGATGAAGAGACACTAAGAGTAGCTCGTGGAACTCGAAGTGATCAGGCTCCGACTGTCTGCAACTATTGGACGTGAGGCGCCGCTCCGCCCCTCTGGTCCGGGCGCCAGATCCCAATTTCTCAAAAATTGGCTTCGTTTATGTTTACTTTATGTATTACCTGCTCTCTTTCTGTGTCTCTGTCTCTCTATCATTCACTCTCACACATTTGTGTAGTCAATATATCTCTCACAAGCTTTTTTTCGAACCTTTGTCACGTATTGTTCACTGCAACTTCAAAAGGTCTGCACAGGTAAGGTGAGTCTCGAAAATAAGCATTTATCCGATTGACTTTTGAAGAGAAAAATGAAATTTTTCGCGAAAAAAGTAAAGTTGAGAAAAGAATTACTAAGTAATTAAAATAATATTAGATTAAAGTAACTTTGTGTCCAGTCGAAATCGCAACAAGTGTTCTGTTGACTCAGTTGACGAACAAAAACGAAGTTACCTTTCAGAGCAAAAATTGAGAAATCAAATGTAAATAGTATACATTTAACCAAATACATTATACATATTTATATATATATATATACATGTATATATATATACAAATATATAAATACATTACATAATACAGAGCATAATTGAGAAAGGAATTCTAAGAATTGCCTGAGGGCAAAGGGAAGAATGGATAGAATGCCTTCTGTTTTAACATTTCTCATCTTCATCAACTTCACCATTGACTTTTTCGATAATCACTCGATCAAATAATAAACTTGCCCTAGTTTTACAGGCGTTAATAGGGGTTGAACGGGACCAAAATCGATGACAAGCTTAAGCTTACTCAACTCAAGCATATGCTCCGGCATGTAAATATGTTAAATATCATTCTTTCAACGAAAGAATAGGATGCAGCGAAAATAAAGTTGACGATGTGTTAAAGATTGATTGAGGGCAGCATTAAAATATGATTTTGCCCTTGTTCGCCTTATCATATTCAACTGAGCTTCTTCTTTTTGTCTCGGAATTGTCATTGCTTATCAGTTCAATCAGATGGTCGCGACAACAGCACGTCATCGTTTACAAAAAATTAAAAAGGACATCCTTTTCATCATTCTCTTCTTTTTTTTCTTCTAAAGCAACACGTAAAGTGAGAGAAAATACAAGAAAGAGCAAATTAACGCCAAAATCTCTGTGTGAGAGATGAAGAGGATTGGAAACAAGTTATATGTGGCTTTGAGTTTTGCGAGAGACGAACGCAGAATGGATGGCTGGACATGGCTTTGTGTTGGGAAAAAAAGCACAACGAAAGTGATGATGAGCGACATAAGAGTTTCCCGGAAAGAGGGTTCGCCAAGTGGATTCGAGATTACGAAAAGCAAAAGACACAAAGAGAGAGAAAGAGGATGATTAAAAGGAAAATATAGAGAGGATGAGAGATTGGACAACTATCGCTTCACGTGGTTCATAATATGAGAATAGATATCGGCATCAGCTAACTACATGGCTCAACACTTGACTTCAACAATCTAAATCTTCAAAATGCTTAAGCGCAAAATATTCTCAGACACATAGTTAAATAGTAAGTGAACTATATGTATATTTATAATATTATCTTAAGCTATCATTATGCTCATTCGTATAATATTTAAAGTAAGCTCATGAATAAACATAGAAGAAGCATTTGGCACTTCAACCTTGTTTGTTTCATTACAATCACCGCATGACATGAATCTTAAAAATGCCATTCAGCATATACTCATGCCTATCTCTCTTGAAACTTAATATATAATTGGGAAAGAAAAAGATTGTCATTAACTTTTTTTGACTTTCTACTGATCATCGAACTAACTTCCGAACTTCTCAATCGGGAGCGTGCTATATCCAATGTCTACATAGACGCCCAGAGGCGCCAAGCAACCGGATTGAAGAGACATCAGTATTTATTTATATTGAAACGACGATTAAGCGAAAGATGAAGATGAAAGAAACGAAAAAGACAAATAGGAGGAATAGATACATACGATTGATACGTTGATGAGGACAAATGATAAGTTGACATGATGAAAAAGAGGAAACGTTAAGGACGAGTCAGTATAATTGAATAAAAAACGTCTCACACTCTCTCTCTCTCTCTTTAGCTGCCTGTGACTTTCTGAGATTTTCTTCCTCTCTTCCACTCTCTTTCTTTCTCCTCTTTTTGTCTTCAGGTTAATCACATAAACTTTCTAAAGAGGTCTTACGTCAAAATGCATCAAATATCAATCAACATTGATATTGTTGCCCTCAGATCACTAGTTAAATACTATCTTAACCACATATCTTTCGTAAATATAAAAGTAAAGGAGGAAAAAAGAAGTTTTTCTTCTTAAAACTCAGTTTTTTTGTCGTTCCAAAGCTAAAAACATAAATAATAATAGTTTACGATATCTAACTATAACCGGGAGGTTTAGACTGTACATGGATTCCGTCATCAATCTACAATTACCAAGCTATTGAAAAATCTTCTCTCCTTTTTGTCATCCTTTTGTAGATCAACACA